GCAGCCACATATTTTCTTTTCCAGGTAAGTCTGAGCACCATTGTGTTTAAGCTTACAACCACAAGTTAAAGATCATGGTGAAAACCGATCCTTTTATTTTCAAAGACCTATATTAAATCCCAGCTGTCATAATAGATTCATTCTTTCCTCATTTCACTGTTGATTTACAGGATGCAGAAAATAAGGGTTATTCACCAATGTTATCTTTAAGGTTCACATCGGTAAATAACCCTCAGAGTGTCTTAACTGGTGTTGTTACATTTCTGAGAGCTTTCTTGTTTCCTGAAATATGGATACAGGCATTACCAATTTATTACATAATAACAAGATCAGAACTAGACATACCTTGTGTCCCACCTCGCCCTGATCGCCCTGTTATATAACAACGAAGAAAGAAAGGAGAGAAAAACACAAAGCAGCAGACATGAAGGACAAGTCATTATATCAGAGCAATAAGATAATGAAAGGCCGAAGAGAGTTCTAGGATTCAGCTTTATTTTCCAAGCAATAGAAAAGACTTCACATAGAATAAAGCACTCTGTGGCATGCAACTCACTGTATTTGAACAATGTTTGGAATGAGTGCTTAGTATACAAACACTGAAAGCAAAACATGCGTGTGGGAATGCAGGTGTATGTTGTGCCAGCAATGTGTTGGGATAGCGCCAGAGAGCCTTTTAAGACCTAAGTTTGGAATCAAAGTCATGCATTTATTATTACAAAGCACATTAGATCAATGTAACCTTCATATCCTTTTAAGTAATTCAGCAAACATGCTTATGTGAAGAAACAAGATGAAGGGAAAGTTGGGCTGTTGCCTGTAGCAACATCAGGCACCACTAACTAAATTCTAATATCACTTTAAAAAATGGCAGCTGAAGTACAAATGATTTTTACAGGCAACAGCACCATTTCCATTTCATCTAGATTTTGTAATTTAGTCTCTGAGTAGATTTCTGCACATTCTAAAATTACAGAAATTGAATTACAATTGCTTGCTACAAAGTTTATTGGATTATGCATTAGTAAGTGTGAGAAACCATGTTGTGAAGGTGACACATCACAGAAGGCCAAATGAAAACTATAGGATAATGAGATCAATTATGTACCAAGCATGCCCAGAGTTTCTTACTTCAAACTGCTAATTATCAGTAATGTACGAATTAGAGGGCAATTAAATTGCAAGTGGAAGTACGTCCTATATATAGGCATCTTATCTATTATCAGTGTTATTAGAAGTGTTCTAAGAACCCAATAATACACTGTGGCATTAAAAGATCTACCACCCCACAGAGAGAAATTAAAGCCTTTCAATATTTTTTCTATACAGCTCTAGTCACAATTTCTCTATTTACATTGCAGATATACTATGAAATATACTTGCATCCACATTGAAGTACCCTCAAGTGACCAGAAGATGTTTCGCTCTACTGAATACCATATTGATATGTCACGTTATACATTGGCCTAGTTTTTAACACTTCTACAGTTGAGAAGCATTCTGTTACATGATGGCACTGTCAGAGTTGTAAAAGATGGGCCAGCTTAGTTAAAGGTAATTGTAAACAAATTCTATATCTTTGTCAATGCTTTTAGATATATGTAAAAGAGATCAGCTTGAAGTGAAAAATCTTATCAATATGTATTCATTTTTTTTAAAAAGCCCTGTTTCCATGAATAGTTTGTAATTACATTTGCTCATTTCATATGCATGTTCCTCTTCCTGCTTTGCATTACTACACAAAGGTTGTCGTTTACTGTTCCTCCTTACAATGCAAGTATATGAATAAGCCAACCCTTTTAAAAACAATGCTCTGGCTATGTGGCCGATATCTGAATAGCTGTTAAGCAAAGTCATTGCAGTAGCTAATGTACCCTTTGTCTGATTGGAAATCTACAAATCTCTACATTTAATACGATAAGGGCTAGTTCACACCAAGCGCGAAGTAAATGCAGAGCAGTTACAGAATGGATCAAAACTGCGTTCAATGTATTCCAATGGTATTTTGGGGTCTAGTTCACACCAGAGCGTTCAATTCCAGAGCATGTGGAAAAACTGCAGCATGCTCTTTTTGTTCTGCTCTGGAATGCACCAAAATGCATGCAAACACATCAAAAACGCATGCAAACGCCATGGAACGCACTGAAAGCCCATTTTAAGCTAAACAAAAATATTATTTTTTTTAAAACGGCCCGGGACACATCAAAAACGCTCAAAACACACTCCACTGCATGTGCAGAAACTCATGCAGATCTGGTCTGCATTTGGTGTGAACAAGTCCTAACAGAAATATGGAAGACCAAATATGTTAAAGCCACACCCAAAACTACTTAAAAGTAAACCTGTGTGTAGTTCATGCAGGGCAATGCAACAGGTTAATCTTATTGCCAGCCCCTGAAGCTACTCATACTCCCCTTCCCATGTGCTCACCCACCACTCCAAGCAGTGGCGGACCTAGGGAACAAAGGGCCCTGGTGCAAGATTATTTTTGGGCCCCCCCCAAAAAAAAAACCCCAACAAACCCATATCCCCTTTAGCAACCACAGAAAAAAAAAGTTGGAAAAATGGCATTGCTGTATAAAGTACTGCTGAGATTTGTAGTCCTCTATATGCGCCGGGAGTGTCGGAAAGACCTGATACTCCTGGCGCAGAGATGAGGGGGCCCGTCGGCCGCCGAAAAATGTGGAGGGAGCCGAGAATTAAAAAAAAAGCCTACAGACACTGCAGGGGGCAGCCCTGGACCTCGGCTGTGAGGACCCAGCAGACAGCCGCCTGAGTACACGGGCACGCTGAGATGGACACGTCACACATAGGGGACCCGTCAGCCAATGTGATCAATGTACACTCCCGGCGCAGAGATGGGGGGGCCCGCCGCATACCGATCCGATGGTAACCGGCGGCCGGACACCAACGGGCCGCCCCACCTCTGCCCCAGGGCTGTGTTTGAATAGATACTGGGCCCCCCCATAGGCTCAGGCACCGCCCGCACCGGCGGTAGTTCCGCCACTGACTCCAAGCATGTGACTTACTCCCAATACCTACATGTAACTGTGCTGATGTGCGGCGACTGGTTGCTTAGACATCCAACATTTTAATATGGGGGCGGCAGAGAAATGTTAGTGTAAGCTCCAGTTTGGGACTTGGAGCTATAAAGTGCTTCAAGGCTTCTTTTCTTTGCTCTTGGCAGCAAATATATTAGTGGGGGAGTGATATGAGGAAAATATAAGCAATTACCGTAAGGGGGCTGGCATTAAAGTAAACTGGTTGCTATATCAAAGCACAGTGCTGGTTGGCAAAGTACAAGTTGACTTTATTGTAGGCACTGTACTGATAACTCATTAAATGTGCTCACTAAAAATATATTGAACATTCCCTTCAAAGAGAACCTGTCAAGCTAGAAATATGGGTGCTGCCATTACTGACCCTTTTTTAAACGTGTCCTAACACATGCTAGATCCAGGTCAGTGACTCACTTTGTAGTTAAGCACAGGCAAGAATGATAGCCCTAGAGTCTGCACCTTGATAAATAAGTCAGAAATGACAGCTCCAATATTTTTATCCTGACATATTATTTTACAGTACAGCATCTTAATTTAGCAGCAAGCTTATGCAAGTAAAGGTAAGCAGCCATATGGCAAAAAGCAGAGGATGCAGAAAAGATGCATGCTATAAATTGCAGGTTATTCATTTTCAAACCATTTCCCTGATGTAGCGTATATATGCTCTACTAGTTTAGTAGAAAATAAAAAAATTCACATCCTTTATTTAGATTTAGCTTACAGAGCCTAAGAGCAAAGTAGTACCTCATTCAGCTTGATGTTAGTTCACAGAAAAATAGGATTGTTATCAGTTTAATGTCTTGTGACTATGATTAATGGGTAGTATTTGTGGAATAACAGCTATAAACAATACTGGGGGAACAATGGCTGTTAAAAAAACAGTAGAGGACAAATAGGGCAATCAAATGCAGACAGGACACCTAAAAGTGCAGAACTAAGACACAGAGGGGGGGATTTATCAAAACTGATGTGCATGGCAACAATCAGCTTCTCTCTTATTTTCAAATCTTAACTGAACAAACTGAAGAGAGAAGCTGATTGGTTGCCATGCATAGCTGCTCCAGTTTTTGTCTGCTCCAGTTTTGATAAATTCCCCTCAATGTATACAGTACACTATATTTTAGAAAACACATATATCATGCGTTAATCTATTTAAACTTCTCCTTACTGTAATAACATGCCCAGGCAGATAGGAACTTTTTATATCTGCTAGTTTTTAAATTGTGAAATGGAAAACACAGCATTGGAAGAAAAGAAAAAAAGTTCTTAGGGGTCTATTCACGAAGCTGCCGAAGGATCTGGCCGTAGCTTCGGCCGATCCTTCGGCTAGCTTCGGCCCCAGGACCCAACTTACCAGCCTGAAGTGAATAGCCGAGCAGTGTTCGGCTCACTTCACTTCAGATCGGTCATTCACTCGGCTGCCCTCGGCAGCTTCTTGAATAGACCCCTTAGTGTTATAGGATCAATTGGGTTGATTTACTAAACACAAATAGGCTGTTCACTTTGCAAGTGAATTTTCCCTTAGCTTAGTGAACGGGGCGAAGCTCTGCTGACCGCCATCATCCGATCATGTGCAAGAAAAATACTGTTTTTCTAATTATTTTTCTTGCATGTGATTGGGTATTCTTTGCAAAGTGCATTTTCACCCCATTCACTAAGCTAAGTGCAAATTCCCTTGCAAAGTGAACTGCCTACTTGCCTTTAGTAAATAAACCCCCAAGTGTTTCCCATTGACACCCACACTGATGATACAGTGATGATCCGTGGAATTATCATGGAAAAATTGCAGATATAAAAGTCTCCTGTCTGATCATAACTATGCCTTAGTTATTTTTCATCCATCAGATGCACATTAGCTGAATTCATCAAGCTGCATGCAACGTTCCTGCAATACACACAAATTAACCAAAAACTCAGCAACAAGGTTTCTTGTACTAATACCTTTCCCCCCACCGGTCCAGGAAGCCCAGGTGCACCAGGCAAGCCAGCTTCACCTAAGTCCCCCTAACAAGGAATATGAGTAACAGCAGAGTAATGTACTTAGCAAGATGTAGGACTGAAAAATAAACACATTACCAATATTCCAGCTTTATTGATGAATCAATTGCACAGTACAGTTACTGCAACATAGAATTCCATGAAAAAGTCAGCTCTAACTTTCTCTTGTTTTTCTGCTCTATATAAAAAAATGCCATGACAGGTACTCCTACACTAAACTAAAAGTGACTGCTAACAGCCAATCATGTTTTATGGGAGCTGAACATTTTTTTAGCACAAGAAAATGTCTAGATAGACTAGTAAATATGCTCCTTGCCACTAAATAGGCTTTTTCCAGTGTCATGTATTTATCTGGATTGATAATAACTACTTCAACTACGTTCTGAATGAAAGGAGATTATTGCAGACTGAACATAACTTCTAAAAGGGAATCTATCATAGTCTTTCTTTTTTGACTCAAACGTGAGTTTCACTCAAGGTAAATAATGTTATCAATGCATATTCATGTTTCTTTCACAGAATAATTCAAACAGAGTTACAGAAAATGACAAGCACAGTGCAAGGAATCAAAGGAAAAAAGGTCTGAACTAAGAGGCATATTTATATTTCAACCACCTTGCCCCATATACAATCCCCATGGCCCCATATACAATTCTGCCTAAACCTACTGTTCCAACATATGCAGGTACTTTTTCAGACAACCATATCCATATCTTATGACTACCTTGGAGCTCATGTTATCATCCCACATTAGAGTGAAGCTCTTTCTATTTTAAAATGTATACTTACCCATGTGGCCATCTTACTGAGCTATTTACCCTTATTAAAAAACAAATGTTTGGGTTGTCTTCAAAAAAACCAAAATAGTCTTGTAGGTACAGGAGCAATTTCCATAAACAATACTATGGGTGGGGGTGGTTTAGAAACCATATGCTGACTGGATGCAATTTGCACGGCATTTTCGCCTCTAGATGGAGCAAAGGAGCATAAGAATTTGCTATGCTGCTTGGCTCCATCTAGTGGCAAGAATGCTGTGCTGGACAGATGATTTATAAATCATCCCCTATTTGTTTTTCATCACTAAATGTTTTAATCAAATGCAATCTGTGTGTATATCTTTATGTATAATGTGCTCATACTGGCATTCTGTGCAGAAGATGCCCTCAGATCTGTATTAATAGGTGGAATGGTTTGAGGCAGTGGTGGTAAAGTTACTTGATATAGGGGGACTCAAGTTGGCCCAAGACATAATCAAAGAGCCGCACATTACATTCTGTGCTACAGAACTCTGTCAGAGACTACAGGAGATGGTCAGAGACTGTGAACATGCTAATCTGAGTTGTTGGAGACTGGGAATGTACTTAAGGAGACAGTCATAGAGTGGAGACACGTTACATGAGACTGCTAGAGATCAATGCCATTATAGGCCTTTTTCAAATCAGTGCTTCCACAATTATCCTCCCTACAGCCCACATAAAAATTACTCATACCACATTGGATATTTCTCTCAGTGAGATCCATTATAAAAGATCTGAGGGGAAAAAATGTAAAAAAGAGATGGACAGCATAGAAAATATAAGATAGTGTGAAACAAATAAACCAAATGATTTAGTTGCTAAAAGCCAATGTAAAGAATAATTTCCTTTCACTAGCTTGAGTAAGGTTCAGAACATAGAACAGTGTATACAGGGACCCCAAAGGCCGCACAATAAGTGCCAAAGGGTTGCATGTGTCCCTTGGTCCGTAGGTTGGGCACCAGGGGTTAAGAGCATGCACACGTCTTCAGACAGTAGGCTTATAGATACATGGCCATAACACATTATTCAAATGAATAAAGAATTTCACATTTCCAACATAAGAAGCAAATAATTAAACGTTTAAATCAGTATATAGCTAAGGGGCCTCTCATAGAAAGTATATGTTATACATATTGTAAAGGGTGACATACATTTGCAAACAAAATATCTTTAAAGACCTAAACTGTTTATTTCTGCACCCAGAACAAACCTAAATGTCCATGTTATCACCCATGGCCCCCTCAACTATTACATATCCCTAACACTGACCACCATCTATAACTTTACCAACTAAAGGGAACAATTAACAGTTTATCTACCCTAGACTTGTGCGCCGTCAAAAAATTTATTCCGTTTCGTTTCGTTCCGTTTCGGAATATCCGTTATTTCAAAATCGCACTTATCTAATCTACCCCCACTCCTAAAACTTTACCTTACTCTAACCCTTAAAATGAACCCAAAACACCTAACCTACCCTAACACACAGTGAAATTTCAGCACCCGCCACACCACTGCCAGTCTGCATGTTGCTGTCAGTCACAGCGGGGCACCTTCTAAGTGATTTAGGGTTTACATACGCTTTAACCTAGTTAACTCCCAAAAAACTATTAGGTTGACAGTTTCTCTATTGAGCCCATACTTTGGTGCTGATTCATACCAGTTTTTACTATGAATGGTGTACATTACGATACAGTGATCAGCTTTTATATATACATACGCACACACACACAATAATGTTAAAATGTTGAATCTGAGGCAATATCCAGTGTCACAATACCTAGTATGCAGCAAAAATTGAGCAGGGCAGTCCAACTTAGTTTAGAAAATACTGAAAATGAGAACATGTTATACATATGTCAATTAAATTGCTGTTCTCTTAATATTTTGGATCATTTAGATAGATACAGTCCCCAGAATAACTGCAAACTGCAAGGAATGCACAGATTCATCCCAGCAGTCGCCAGCACGGCATGATGTCATTTGCGATGCAAACATGTAGCAAAGGTTAAATTATGTAAGATTTCCCAATTGCAGGCAGGGAGTCAACTGTCTGCTTAATGTGCCATAACAGCTCACATTCGTTAATCAGCATGATAGGCAGCAACCCCTTCTGATTGCCGCTCCAATTAGCAGCAATACTCTTACATTTTGTTGGAAAAAGTGCTTAGCCAGATGTTGGATCGGCTGAGTCGAACTCCTTCTGCACTTCGGGTCGACCGAACATGCCGAGCATGTTCGGCCGACCCGAAGCCAGCCGAAGCAAGCCGATGTATGGCTGATTTCAACCGATCTACGGCTAAAATCAGCTGTATAAACCTGAAGTGAATAGCCGAACACCGTTCGTCTCACTTCACTTCGGGGCGGTTATTCACACGGCTGCCTTCGGCAGCTTTGTGAATAACCCTTTTAGTGTAAGCTCCCAGTGACAGCACTAGAGAGAGTAGGGTTAAAAGCAGATTAAAGCGGTCATGTAGGCCCAGAGTAAAAGGAACAAGCAAGGCGTTATTGACTAGGCCTGCTGTGAGGAAATGTACTTGCCTAAATAAATGGGCTGTGGGTTACTGGGAGGGTTTTCAGAGGCTGAACAAGAGTGTAGTGACTCTGTTCCCAGGCCAAAGGTAGCATCAGGTAAATGTCTTGCCCTCCTTCACTATTGTATCTGTTTCTTTAACTGGCACGTGCTAATACTATGATGTAAAAACGTTTTGCCATGGCTACATTGCAGGGATCTGCTTTAGGTATGACATCCTTTCTTTAATGTGGTCAAGTTCTGGCAGATTGAGACAGCAGCATGGATGGATAGATAAGTAATCCACTGAACACCAATAACCCAAAATGAACAGCAGTGACCTCCACTGATACCAATATCTCCCACCCTATCCTCACCAAGCAGCAGTGTCCCATTCTCCATCTGCAGAGCATCAGGTGGAATGGCCACCCTGGGCTTTTCTGCAGTGCCTATTATAAACAGCAGTGCAGAATTAACATTTCAGCACCTCATTTTTTATAAACGTATGAGGTAATCTTACTGGGTTCTTTCCTTTTTAGTGCCTCCCTCTGCTAGGGCCTTGGGCTTACAAGTGAAACTCCCTCCTAGGAATACCTTTTGCTCAAGAATTTACTTAGCATGCAAGTAAGTGAACTTGAGAAAAATTTGAAGGCAAAGGACAGGAGAAGATACCCAACACAATTCAGGACTCCTAGAGCCCCTCTAGCAAGTAGTCCTTGGGTGGGTCACACCACCGAGGAGATTACAACTATGAATGGGCAATGAGGCCACAAACCAGGAGGTTCTTCTGTTACTTCATACCATTTCTCTGATTCTAGCATAGGACTACATGGCCTCCGAGAACACAGCCTGCAAGAGTGCCACACCCTCTTGGCCAAAGTGCCACCCCTGGGTCCTACAAGGCACACAGCCTGCACACAAACCAGAACCTCTCTCAGTGGACTTCTACCAAAGGGGAGAGCTACCAAAGTGCCCTTCCAAAACAATGACCCTCTGTGAAAGACTGGTTCAACCCACCAGTGAGAAAATCACTAGGAGTTGAACAGCTGACAGGAGAGACAAAACTCTCTGTACCCACCTTGTCACAGAACTTCCTCAGCAGAGTCTGGCGGATGATGTAGTACACATTATCCACACAATGTTGCCCGAAATGTTCAAAAACAGGTTTTTTAAAAATATAATTACAAGCAGGTAACAATAAAAATAAACCTGTCATGAGAGCAACACAAGATTTGCTATTACTGACCTTCTTTGGGAAATTCTAGTGTTTACATTGTTACTGTATACCGATGCACAGTCCTTACACAAATGCAGTATTTATCTGCATACCTGGTGTGGGTGCAGTGGCGTAACAACCGGGGGGGCGGCCGGTGTTTCTGCTCCGGGCGTTAAGCTGAGGGGGGGCGCCGGACGGAGCCCCCCCGGTTATTATGCCACTGCGGGATTTGGCGGGTCTCTGTTGCTGCGGTCCGGTCAGACTCGGACTCTCTCCGTGGCCGCCCGTGCGTATGTGCGGCTGCGCTGCCTGTAGCGTCACTCCTCACGCAGGCAGCAGGCTCCTCCCACAGTCTCGGAGTCTGACTCACTGTGCTGGGGATCAAAGGCAAGGCCTGTGTGAACAGTCAGTCGGCGGAGAATGCTTCATCAGCTTTTTTTGGGGTCCCCAGCAGTGGCGTAACAACCGGGGGGCATCAGGGGCG